ATTACTCACATTGAAGAAATTGTTCAGTGGATGGGCTGGGAACCATTTAAGGTATAACATTTCTCAACATTTTAATCCAATGTTCAGTAAAAATTCTTGGCTGATATCTGTTTGCATTGGATTCTTTTCTGTAGATATCTTACACTAGTGACTATTTCCAAGATTTGTATGAGTTGGCTGTGGAGCTGATACGAAGGGGTCATGCATATGTTGATCACCAGGTACTAATACATGATATTATCCATAACATGGAGCGCTAAATGCACACACCACTTTCTTATTTTTAGTTTGACACTTAAATCAACCAAACCAGTATTTATTCTCTTGTTGTTAGACCCCTGAGGAGATAAAGGAGTATAGGGAAAAGAAGATGAACAGCCCTTGGAGAGATAGACCAATTACCGAGTCATTAAAACTCTTTGATGACATGAAGAGAGGTCTGATAGAAGAGGGTAAAGCAACACTCAGGATGAAGCAGGATATGCAGAGTGATAACTTTAATATGTATGATCTTATTGCTTATCGCATCAAGGTAAGTGTTTATCTTGTTGACGTTTAATTACTTATGAGTCTGTTTCCATCTGCTATTATCATTGATATCCTTTATCTTGCACACTCTCTCCAGTTTACTCCTCATCCTCATGCTGGTGACAAATGGTGCATTTATCCGAGCTATGATTATGCTCACTGCATCGTGGATTCTCTTGAGAATATCACACATTCAGTATGTTTTCTTCTTTAACTATCCTAATTAATTTTGCAACATTCAAGGACATTGGTAATTTGCCTAACAGGGTTCCTTATGAAGTGTTCAGTTGATTTTTTAAATGCTTCATTCTTAAAAATATTTATACTTTGGGTTTTCTTTTGTGTAGCTATGTACACTTGAATTTGAGACAAGGCGTGCTTCATACTATTGGCTGTTACATGTACTCGACCTTTACCAGCCTTATGTGTGGGAATACTCACGACTGAATGTTACAAACACCGTGATGTCTAAACGGAAGGTGAAACAAAATAATATGATTTTTTATCAAAAGTTTATGTTTGTTTTACGGAGTTCATTAAGTTAATGTCTAACATGCTTCCACTATGATGTGATTTAGTTAAACTACATTGTGACAAACAAATATGTTGATGGTTGGGATGATCCCCGTCTAATGACATTAGCTGGTTTACGGCGTAGGGGTGTGACTTCAACTGCAATAAATTCTTTTGTTCGAGGAATTGGAATCACTAGAAGGTTGAATGTGCACATTCTCGTCTTATTCACTTGTTATATGTGTAGCGATGGTCTAGTGCACTATGTTTTCATGCATTAGAAACAAACCTGGCTTTTCATATTTGTCTAGCCTTTTGCTAATGTTTTAACATCTTGTGCCACAGTGATTGTAGTATGATTCGTATGGATCGCCTTGAGTATCACATAAGAGAAGAATTAAACAAGACAGCTCCTCGTGTATTGGCTGTGCTGCATCCTTTAAAGGTCATCTTCTAGTCTGGGTCTTCCTTTAAAACCATAGTGTCCGCCATCCACCTCATCTTCTTTTTTTTCTCAGGTAGTAATAACCAACCTTGAATCTGGGTCTGTTTTGGATCTTGATGCAAAGAAATGGCCTGATGCTCAAACGGATGACACATCTGCCTTTTACAAGGTAGGGGATACAGAGGGGTGGCTTTTTAGATTGTTTTAAATTTGAATGATTTGCATATTCCTTTATCCCCTTCAGAATCATGTTGGACTGCTATTGAGTATTGTCTGTTCATGAATCTCGCTTCAATTACAGAAGCAGATGTTAACTCCAAATTGCAATTTGCTTCAAATGCTTTTGTTATTCTAGTCAGTGATCATAACTACTTGTTCTCTTGACTTTAGGTGCCCTTTTCGAATGTTGTATATATTGAGCGCTCAGATTTCCGGATGAAAGATTCTAAAGATTACTATGGGTTGGCTCCTGGCAAGTCAGCACTGCTACGGTATCCATATGAACATAATCCCCCTCCATTCCAATTCCACTTAGATTGATATGCATTGCAACTTTGTGTAGAAAATTTTAGTTAATGTCTAGCATGATTCCATTTTGCAGATATGCATTTTCCATTAAGTGTACAGACGTAATATTGGCTGATGATAAAGAGACTGTGCTGGAGATTCGAGCTGAATATGATCCTTCCAAGAAAAGCAAGCCAAAGGTTCTTATTTGTTTTAACTATTTTGTCAAATAATTCTGGACTTTTCTAATTACACCTATATGTTCAACTCATATTTTTAAAGGGTTGTACAATATATATATATATATATTCTGCTAGGTATTATTCCTAAACGATTTTCAAAATATTTGCACAGGGGGTTCTCCACTGGGTTGCTGAACCCTCCCCAGGTTCTGAACCATTGAAGGTTGAAGTTCGATTGTTTGACAAACTCTTTAATTCCGAGGTTGGCAGTTATTTATTAGCTATTTGGATTCTTTTCAAGTATTCTGCCACATTGTAATATGAATGCTAATGACTTCCATTTATTTAATCAGAATCCAGCTGAACTTGATGATTGGCTTGCTGATCTCAACCCGAATTCCAAAGTGGTGGTACCTGCTGCATATGCAGTACCATCACTTTGGAATGCTGCCATAGGGGACACATTTCAGTTCGAAAGGCTAGGTAGGTTTAACCAAGACATTGATATTATATTGTTGTATGCACAGCAGTCTCGTTCTCAGCATGGCATGGTGACACGAATATGATTCATGTTCTTGGTTCTTATTTATTTTTGGCACTTACATTATAGCGAGTTATAGATGTTAAAAGTTTTATTATTATTGTTATGAAGTTTATGGTCCATTTGTGCAACTACTTATTTTGGTTTGTAATTTCAGGGTATTTTACCGTGGACAAGGACTCAACTGCAAGAAAACTCATATTCAATCGTACGGTTACGCTCAAAGATCCCTACGGTAAGGCTGCAAAATAGGTTTTCACACATTAAGAATGCAATGACTTACGAAAGGTGATATCGTTATACAAAAGATATTGACAGATTTAATACAGTTTGTTCACTGCCAAATATCGTTTTTAGTTTTCTTTATACAAGTACGTTATTTCAATATAATTTGGAATTTTTTATACTTATTAATATTTGATTGATTAGTCGATTATTTAAGGTTAGATATTTGCAGTCATATTATAGAAAGAATCTAGTTTATTTCATTCACTCGAGGTCATAGTTTAGATAATTTTTATTTATTTCTTTTATTATTATTTTAAGTTCTCCAATATATAGCTAAATTATATATTGAGTTAATTGCATCACATGTCCTCGAATTATGATCCATATTTTAAATAAGTTCCTAAACTTTTAAACATTCTAATTTCATCCTTGAATTATGATTGTCATTCCTCAAAACTTTTGAACATTTAAACTTCGTTCCAAACTATGACCATTCTAAATTCATCCCTAGATTTTTTGAACATTTTAATTCCATCCCAAACTATACTTGTATACTAATCACAACTCTTGTTAATAGAATTGTTAAGTCTAATTATATTATTTTATGTTAAAAATAAAATAAAATTTAGGTTATATCGTGGTTGAAATTAATTATTTATTTAGGTCAGTTTTATGTGTTAGTTTTATGTGTGAGTTGTTTTGTGAAAGATTCGTTAATGTATGAATGAAATCGATTCGATACACTTTTTTCCTCCTCCTAAGTTTAAGGAGGTTTTTTAACGAGGTCTTTATCGATGTTTTGTTTTGTATGTATCAATTATATGAATCACACAAAATCTCCTTTAAAAAAATGATAATAATAAATTTTATGATATAAATCACTTGAAATACATTTTTGGAGCGCTTCATCTATCATTTGATATCGAAGTTGGCTCTTAAACTTCCCAACTTCATGTTTGAATTAAACGCATTTGATGGGGTGCCATTCAAAATTGACTAGAGAAGTGATAAAGATGTTCAAACCAGTTAGAGTTTGCACTAGATCAGATATGCCTACTTTTACCATGTATTTGGGAAGTCTACGAGCCTTAAATACGGTATCAAAATTATAAAATAAAATACCGTAAATAATTTTGAACTGGCGTTTGACTTCTACAATTTATTTTAAAAGGTTGAATCTCAAGATTCAAATAGAAACATATTTGTTATAATAATATATAAATTATTATTTGATACATAAATTTATAATAGACAAGTTTATGTAAATTAACCTTTAAATCTAAAACGTTAATCTTAAAATTTTAAACACTAAATCCAAACATTAAAATTTGAATCTTAAAATCTATATATGTAAATTCTAAATCTTAAACATAGAACATATCATTCGTGTGTAAATCAATATTCACACAACTGAAGCCCTTAAACAATCTTAATGATTAAAGAAAATATTATTTTTTTTAAAGATCATAAAATCGAGTAATTGTGTCTGTAAAGCAGCGTTATCAATTATTAAATTTTTTTTATTTTGAATATATACTATCTTGTAAACTATGCAAAAAGTTACATAATAATTTACAAATAAATAATTTTTCCATAATGTATAAAATATGTAAAGCATTTATCACATGATAATTCCAGGTAGAGCTCATGAATCACAGTAGCCTATCAAGTATGAAACAGTAGAGAATTCGAAAGGATAGGCTTACCATCACACAACTCACCCTACACAATTCCATCAATATAATAATTTGTTTCCCTCAATCCCCTACTCATTTTATATTACAATCAAATCTTTTTATTAAAAAATATATATTTTAAATAATCTTCTCATCAGTCTTGAAGTTAAACAAAAACATTGTCAAAGTTGTAATAACGTGTACGATTATTAAATAATATTAAACGAATATTTTGAGATTTACAGTAAGTTTCAGGGAAGGACCATGCATTGCTTACTCATCATATCCATTCCAATTGATTGTTATATATAATTCCATTTCCTTCATCATCTTGTTTTATTATAATCTCCAAAACTCTTGGTAACATTTGTAAACAATCCATGGAAATTCCGATTATCAACAAAATAAGTGATTTTGAAGATGCCTTAAGCTCTCTTTATGTGCTTTCTGGGATTCAGAAAATCTATGAAACCCATAGTTTTCTTAAGTGGGGAACTTTGATTCTTGCCCTAATAGCTTCCTTGTTTACCATTATCAATAAACTCAAGATTTTGATCATCAGCCCACACCATTCTTTGCCATCAGAAACTCTTCTTTACGACACAGATTTCGACTTTGACAGTGACAGTGACATTGATTCTTCATCGGACGACGAATCAGAATACGATGAGCCGTCCACTTCCCACAACCGGCGACGAGTTGAAGAATATTTTCGGGTTCGGGATTCCGGCTCCGGTCATTTTGTCTGCGACGAGTGGGAAGACAGTTATTTCACCGGCGGGAAAAGTGTGGTGAAGCTATGGGAAAACCTAGTTTTAGAGCTCGGTTTCGACGTCGATGAAAGCGACGACGTTAACAAAGGAACGAATATCGCTTCCATTCTCAGCGGAGAGCGCGGCTTTCAGGCGATTTCCGCGCCGTTCTCATCGCCCGCGGTTGTCATTTTTGCTGGCGTTGCCTTATCGTCTCGACGAGTCGCTGTCGGAGCGTGGGACACGCGCCTTTGTCGTCGAGTACCTGCTATTGTAGCAGAATGGAGGCCTAAACAATCACATGAGAAAATCGCAGCGGTCGATGTGGATGACGGGGTCGAGAAGGTTTACACCAGAGGTGACGTCACGGGGAAGTTGACGGTGGGTGATATGAGGACGGTGATATCGTCGTTAAGGAACTTAACGGAATATGAGGATGATATCTCGGTAGGATGCTGAGTCTGACCGAAGAGTCGGTTGACCGAGTTAACACGTTCATTTATTTATTTAGAAGTGATAAGACTTTGATTAAATGTAAAAATTAAATAATTAGATTTGCTCCGAATGCTCGAATCTAGTTCACATGTAAAATTACTTTTTACAAATTTCAAACTCACGCTGCTTCCATGGTTCGTTTGTACATGTTCTCTAATTTCTTTTATTTAATTTTCTTTTTCGTTGTCTATTGATATTTACTAGCACACGACAAGACTTTGATTATTTTCATCGTCCTTATAATGTAAGAAAAAAAGTTTAATTTCGTCGTTTAAATTAAAGTTTTATTTGTTTTTTCTCTTCAAATGATTTTAAATAATTTAATTATATATATATTAATTAATATTTAATGTGCAAAGAATGGACTTATTATGAAAAAATAAATTATTTTATTATCAATATATCAAATAATAATTCTGCGTTTGAGCCAAATATCCTTAAATTTGAGAATTAAATATGTTAAGAAGCTCTTTACATTTGAGGTCGTTGATGGTCGATCATTTTGTTTGTCTAGTAGTTGGTTCTGTTTTCCTTAATGAACATGTAATATTTTTTTGAATAGGACGGCTCTAATTTTAATTCACAATTAGGCCAATTAGTTTATGCTCAATTCTGCATGCAAGTGTTCACCAAACTTATTTCTTTTCGGCTTCAATCACAAAAACCATCATCATTAATGGGGAAATGATTCATATAATGCAACAATCTAAGTACAAGAATGAATGGATGCCATTAAAGTCGATATTGAAAAAGCTTTTAACAGATTGTGTTGGAATTTCATTTAAGATACCCTTAAAAATGTTAAACTTGTATCGCATCTCGTTCGGATAATCATGGCATGCATTACTTCTTTCACGATGCAAGTTCAATGGAACAATGAGTATTCTAAATCCTTTCGTTTCTCTCTGTGGCAAGTTGGGCGTATCTTATTTTGATGCCTCAATCTCTCTTGCATCTTTCACGAGCTTAGTTGACGTTGCAAATAGACGTAAAATTTTATATCTAATATGATTGTTGATTTCGTTTCAAAGCTCACAATAAATTCATTAGATAACATGGTCGTCTACGAACGTCCTTCATCAAATTTAACAACTCTCCATCACCATGACATGAATGATTTTGTTAATTTTTTTAATTACATGTATTAATGTAAATTATAAAATTAATTAAATTCTTTCATTAAATATCTAATTTTGTTGGAAATGATTTTTTATTGAGTGTGATACTGTGCTGAAGCTTCTGTTTTTCTTGATGGTTTCACGTATTACAAAACCATAATGGTAAAGGCAAGCACACAGGTTTTGAATATTAATAACTAACCACCATGTTTGACAGTAATAATACTTTAACAAATTGAGAGGCAGCATGCATGTTTTAGACTACAGGTTTGATTTGTCGGGATCGATCCAAGTAAGATTCAATCAGAAAAAATTACAAAGAATAAACCAGAAACTATGAACATCAATTAAACAAGAGAGAATGTGAGATCATTGCCTGCAAAACAAGTTCAAAGAAAAAACCTTTGTTTTTTTCAGTAATCTGGGAGCCCTTTCATGAATTCCAGCAAAGTTGGTGAGTTCAAAGTCCCCGTATCACCAAACTTACGAACATTCCTCGGTGAGCAGAAGAAATCCGTCGAACTCGGCGTGAAGAGAGGCATATCAGCGAAAAAGGGTTTCATTCCACCGACACTCGCCGTCGTAGGAACATCTCCGACACTTTCATCTGTAATTGCAGAACAGGATTCGTTGTCTTCCTGTCTGATGTTAATCTCGTCGTTCTTCTTAGGTCGTGACGGCAGCACCGCCGCAGTATCTTCATTAGCTTCGCGATCCGATCTGGACAACCCTGTAAGCCTTTGAACCAAGGCCATGAAATCCCGAGCTTGCGTGTGGATGATCTTGGGCGTGTGCGTGTAAGTTATGACCACACCTTTCCGCCGCTGCTGCTGCTGCTTTTGCTGATCAGCCGATGAAGATGACTTTTGAATCAAATGAGACTCTTTGTTTATGCTCAATGGAGACGGACGAACTCCGTTCAGCATCATTTCTTTTCTGGGAGGACTCATCGTGCAAATAATGATTTTGTCGGAGGATCGAAAACCTGAGAAAGTTGAATTGAAGAAACTCTTCACAACTTGGTGAAGTTAGAGAGAAAGGCCTATATATAATTGTACGTGTAGAGAGATGAATATGGAGGCCAAGCCAGCGAATTCTGACCGTTGACCAAAGGAATGAGAAAGATGTACGTGTAAAAGGATATAATATTAAGAGTAAACTACAACATTAGTCATTAAATTATTACTTATTTTATATTTAAGTCACTGAACTATTTTTCTTTAATAAAACGTCACAAATATTATTTTTTTAGTCCCCGGTTTAAATTTTTAAGGATGATACTTGCTCTCTCCTCATTAACATCTCACATATATGTGTAAAATTCATGATGATATTAACGTGTCACCATAAAATAATATTATATCATTGTTGAAAAAACTTATAAAAATATCACTTCAGTAGTTCTGCTTATTGTTTAACGATATGTAACTAAAATGAAAATAAAGCTAAATTTTAGGTATGATTTTAAAATAAAAAGTAATTTAGAGACCATAACAGCATAAAGTGATAGATAAAGTAGTAAACATGTAATTTACCCTTAAAATTTTAGGGTAGGAAAAGAACATGTATGTTTAAGGGTGACATAAATTAATTGTCAGATATCAAATTCTAATTATATCTAAATTATTTTATATCAAAAAATCTACATGTCCAATTATTTTTACGCTATATTATATTTTGATTATTGAATTTTAAAAAAATGTTACTTGAGTATTTAAATGTTGTCTTTTTTAATTCTTGAATCTTTATTTTTTTAATTTGATTTATGTTATATTATATTTTATCATATTGTTTTGTTTTTCTATCATTTCCAAAATTCTTTTACATTTTTATTAATTTTTATAAAATTTACATTTTTTAATAATTAGAATATTTTTTATATTTTTAACATTTTAAAAAATATATTTTACTTTTTTTTTTTGTAAAATTATAAAATAGTTTATATAATCATTAGAAAATAAAAATATGATGTCAACTTAATAAATTTATTGTTTTTCTATTAATTAATTTAATAAATTTTAAAGTTCTAAAAAAATAAAGACTAATTTTTACTTTAAGTATTATACTGTTATCGTATTTAAATTATTTTTTACATCGTATGGTACAATCTTTGTCATTCATAGCCTTCTCTTCCATAAAGTTGACCTAATTTTTGAGGGGCCACACCTAAGTGAAAATGTATTCATGAAAAAGTTGAAGTCAAAATGGCTGTAATGGGAGGAAAATATTATAGAAGTTTGATTCAAGTGTTGTGAATAGGGTATAGTGTCTGTGATATTCCTTTCCCCCCCCCCCCCCAAATAATTTATATCAAATAAATTAATTATATAACCCTAACTATCTTTTTCCTCCCTTCCCAAATAAATTAATAAATACGAGAGAATAAACTGAATCAAAATAAATTAATAAAAAAATAAGAGTTGACGGGTAAATAGGTCCAAGTTGGAACTAATGATTTGAGTAATAGTCTAATATATGGCGGCATTTGAAAACCCTAAGTCTCCATTTTGGCTGAATTGTCAAACATTTTTCGAGCTGACTTTTAATATATATATATATATATATTCAACTTCTTGTGAGATACGCAGGCTTGAATTCAAAATCAAACAATTTAGGTTTGTGAATTTATTTCGTTTCAATCGAATAAAACCTACTGCTGCTGTTTTATTTAAGAAGAAGAAAAATGTATTTGTAAGCAGGTCAAATGTCAACCATATCCTTGCCCTTTATTTATTATTTGTCATAAATTTCTTTATGGTTTTTCATGCCATTTGCTTACTCAATCCTGTTAAGAAGAGTCTTAGTTAAACAATTCTCTATCCACAACCTGACTTACTGAATAATTTTCTTTATGGTTTATTTTTGTGTGTAAGAGTATTGTTATATATATATCACTAGCAGAAGATAAGTATTGTTATATTTTCTAATAGATATTTACAACTGACTTGGCCCAAATTAGCCCTCTTAATAGAATCTTCTTATCTTGTTAAGAGCCCAATGGTATTAAAATGGACTGAACTCTAATACACTCGTCGTGGGAGAATTTTCTCTACTTGTTATAAATAATTTTAGTCTTTAAATTTGATAATGTTTCCCAATTAATCCTTGAATTATTTTTTGACCCATATTAGTCACTGAATTTTAAATTATTTCTCAACTTGATCCTTGAACTTGGATTTCTTTAAGGACTAAAAGGTCTGATAGAATCCAAGTTTAGGAACAAGTTGAGAGAAGCAGTCAAGTTTCGGGACAGCTATGGACTAAACTCCAAAGGGATAAAGTTAGAAAGAATTATTAAGTTTAGGGACTAATGTGAATCAATAAAAGTATAAAGACCAAATTAATAATAAAATGAAGTTATCAATTCGATGACTAAATGTTACGTTATCTCTACATTAAAAAGAGCGTTAGTTTCTAAAATGGGCATTTATTTTTAAAATTCTGAAACACTTAAATACTCATAATTTTTTATATTATCATTTATTAAAATTTTGACTATGTACAAAATAATAATACTAATTAGAAGTTTATTGTTACCCAAAAAAATTATTAAATAAATAATGTTACTTGTAAGGTTACATTAATAGATTAATTTTCTTTAAAATATGCATTGTTTATTAATTCACTCATCCTATATCTTTGACTCTTTAAAAATATGTGCATGTTTTGGTATTTCCTATTTTGGCACAAATTTATTTTACTTCCTATTTTACTAATAACATATATATTTAATATTCTCTGTTAATAAGATTACAAAAAGAGTTACATGAATCTCTTATAAATATATAAATAAATACTTATGGTAAAATCTTAAATTTCGCAGATATTAATTAATTAATAATTCAT